AAGTGCTGTACAGGAGAATAATAATATATTTGTTATAAGTTAATAAAAAAAAGAATTACAGTAACAAAATATAAAATACTATTACAAAATGTTTTATTATATTTGTTGATTTGTTACAGTGTGAATTATTAATGTTATATTATGTTATATTATTTTATAAGCTCATCATATGTAACGCTAACTAAATATATGTAGTAAAATAATACAAGAGTAACAAATAGCAGATAATGATAATACTCAACTTAGTTTTTACTAAGTTATGTGCCACCATTGGTGTTAAGTGGAATACAACATTCAGACTTTCAGTCTGTTAAACTCTGAGCTTTACTGGCAGTGACTTATAACCGATGGATGAATCTCAAAAACAGAATACAATTGTATAACTAACCAGGCTGTTTTAGATTTACAGCACATGAACCATAAAATCTGTCTCATAACTGCTGAATCACTGCTGGACACTGGAAGCAGGTCACACCTTGATCACACTTGGGAACTCTGGGAAGTTTCACACAGTACGCCACGGTATCACTGTACCACGGTATCACTGCCCATTCCCCTTTCCAGATATAGGGTAATATAGCTTTTATTGTTCTGAAAAACTAATATACATTTAGTTTAAACCCCATGAAAAACTGAATTGTGTAAATAATGATTGAACAACTAATTTAAACAAAACATTTATTGCAAAGATGTGTATGTAATATTTACAATATTAATACCAACATTTCTGGATAATACATTTATTGTTATTATGTAGAACTTGATTTACAGTTCAGCTCACTCCATTCATGGAGTTTCAAGGCAAATAACCTACATCTTCAGAAAGACGCGCACAGAACACCAGCATTTAAATTCCCCCAGAACATATCTCAAGAGTCCAGGAGTTTAAGGAACCTCAGCAAAGGTTTCTTAAAAAGAGGGAATCCATGTGAAAGTTCACTTTGGCCTCTGTACAGGATACAGGAGCCCAAACTGTGGCAGCTCACAAAGCTCCAAAAATTCTCGCCTGCAACATGAGACCAGGCAACGTTTAATAGCTAAGAAAAGGCAGGACTGTGAGAGCGTTACCGAAAAACACATTTATCTTCTCATTTTCTTCCTCTACCGCTCTTCATCCCTCCCTTGCCACCCTTCGACGGTCCTCCTCTTCCTTTACCACCTTTTCCTTTGCCCCCTTTAGCGCGTTGCTCTTTCCTCTGCATTCCCCGCATGTCTTTCTTCATGCGACTGTCCACCACTTTGAAGGCTCCCTTGACGCCAGCGGGCCGTCTCACCTTCTTACCAGCTCCCTTTTTGGTCACAACATATGTTACTTCTCTCTTCTCCTTCCCGACGCCAGCCTTCTTGTAGATACTGACAGAATGGGGAAAAAGACGAGACAAAATGATTGAAATGCTAAATATTAAATATTGCTAAAGGTAGCCGGTATAAAGCAATGCGTTTAAGTTGGAGGTGCAGCTGCAACCATACAGGTGTTAACGTCATACCTCTTCAGCTGAGCCATTTTCTCCCTCTCAGAGATGTCCACTGTGTTGACAACTGCCTCTGCTTTCTTCTTAGCCTGCTCCATCTTCTTCAGCATCTGGAAAAGTCACAGAGAAAATAAATTAAAAGATGTACAGAAATACTTTGCCTAAATTTACAGGTTCTGGGTGTTTTTGTTTGTCTTAAAATAAATCTACCAACTATAATGACTTGAATCATGATCCAGTTTTATGTCTGATCATCTATTGCCATCTTCAACTTTTTAAAGTCATCTTTCACAATTGTTTTTCCCCTGATCTTACCCTCCTCTTCTTCCTGGCCTTGGCCTCAGCAACACGTTTAATTGGTCGGGCATCGATCTCCTTCCACTTTTGTTTGAACTCCTCCACCATCTCCTTGGTGACCGGCACGGGCTTCTTCCGGTGCTTCCGTTCATCGTCCAGGAACCACTCCGGTACGTCCCACTGCTCCTCGGAGCTAGCAAACCTGCAAGTGCATGTAAAGTCTTAAAATCAGATACTGAGTGTAAACACTGGTGTTAAGGCATGTGGCTCCTGGTCCCATATTACTGCAGTAAGGAAAATACAAATACTAAGCCTGGTATTCTATATTTCACTTAGTGTCCTCCACACTATGTCCCTGTGGCATTCAACCCTGGGCCAATTTGTTCCTACTGAAGATGTTATCTTTAAAAACGGTTCACAAATATACAGTATATTTTTTTATTTGCATGCATTAGGTGCATTAGTGAGTATTTACAGCAACTGGACACTTTATGTTGGACAGAGTCAAAATAAACTACAGTACCCATGTTCACGGTAATGAAAGAACATTGTGAGATTACTTTTAGCTTTGTGAGACTATTTGAACCTTTTGGAAAGTGGGCACACACTCAAACACACACACACACCTGTGGAAGGAGCCGTCCACAAGGTCCCTGGCTCTCTTCTTAGACGTAGCGATCTCACAGCCCAGGGCCAGGCCTTCTGCATCCAGGATCCTGGCTTTCTTACCTACAAACATCCACAAAATCACATAAAGACATGAAACTGAAGTACTTCTACTGCTGATGTTGATGCATTATCAGGGGGAGATCCATGCAGAAAATATCTACTTTGACATATCTGTTACATTTTTCTGATAACTGATAAAAACTTATGAATGGCAATTTAATTTTTAAACAAATATACAGAAAAGGCAAGGCTTTTGTCTGTTAAAAGCATACCAAAATGTTTTTTAACCTGCATAGAACACATGTACTTAGTATAAAACAAACAAACAGACAGGAAGGAGCCTAATCTGTCTCCTTGGTCTTCAGTCCCTAAATTACTCCCAACTCCTGCACTGTTCTGGTCACCTCTCCAAACCTGTGCCTGCTGCAACATTTGTTTTGTTTTTTCTTTCAGATGCTGAAACTATTGCTGCGGATCACAAACAGTCTGAACAGCCCAATTGGTTGACATAGTGCAGAAAGAAAGTGCGCCACCTACCCCTGGCGAATAGCTACAAAAATGTGGATGAAAGGTTTTGATATAATTCCAAATTGTGGGCCTACTCAGTAGAAGAAATTCTGATTTTAAAAGTACATTACATAGTGTAATACATATGTACTTACATACATTAAGTGTAAAATAAAAGGCTTGAAGAAATACTCATAAACGTGTACCAAAAAAAAAAAACAACTTAATCACAGTAAGGTGAGTAGGTGTAATTTGTTACTTCCACCCCGGTTCAGCAGTTTCCAAAAGATAGAATTTCTGTAGATTGGAGATACCAGAAATATAAATGTCTCTCATACTCACTGGTGCTTTCTACAGGAACAACCTGGAAGTCATCACCATTGGCCGCTCCTGACGTCCCACCAGCTCCGTTGGCCAGCTTCATCTTGGTGATCTCGCTGGAACAAGCAGCAAAATATTGATTGGATATTTATTCAGACACAGCTATCGCCACCACAGAGGCAGAAAAACAGCACAGACTGTTGCAGTAAATTAGTTTTTACTTCTCATCATCAGTGCTGTCATCTGAGTCGCTGTCAGTGTCCTCTGCGGCTTTCTGTGACGGTCCCGCCTTTTCCTCCTCAGGTGGCGCAGTCATCTCCTCTTTCTCCTCCTCTTCCTCCTCCGGCTCCTGTTCCTCCTCTTTAGCTTTCCTCTTTTTGCCCTTTTCTATAAAAATATCCAAATTTCTCATTATTTGTTTTTGTTCCAAATTTAGGAGAGTTAATATCCTTTTAAAAGTAAATTTTTAGACTTGCGTTACGTCATTTTATGTACATTTGTGAATAAATGAACGAGAAACGGCGGAGACTGTTACCGGTTTGTTTGTTCTGAAGCCACTCGGTCTGTTGGAGCTCGCACTCTGCGTCTCCTTCCAGATCGATCTCAGAGAAGATGCCCTACAGAGCGAAAAAGGTGTAAGCCATGAGGATCAGTGATGATGTGAATGAACAGGCAGGTGATCAATGATTATATAACACCAGTTTGTGTAACATCATATAACATACCTTGCTGAACCACAGGTCGGTCTGCCGTTCTTTCTTCTCATCCTTTCCCTCTAGTTCCACCAGCAAGCCACTTCCCTGCCCTTCATCCTCCTCCTCCTCTTCTACAGTGAACTTTACTCTGGAGAGCACAGTCACACATAAGCAAGATACTCAAAAACTAAATAAGGAAATTATTAAAACTTTGTAAAAATCGTCTTTTGGTCTTAACAGTCACTTACTTCTTCTTTGGTGTTTTCGCCTCAAGCTCTTTCAGTCTCTGCTCCACCTCTTCCAAGTCATCGTCATCTAAATCAGAGGCCAGGGACATTTTATCCGCCTCGTCGTCGTCTTCCTCAGACAGGTGGATGTCGTCGTCTCCTTCCACCAGGGCATCGGCCGCCTGCATGTCCCCCTTGGATATATCAGCTAGCACCTGATGGAGCGAGGGGAATACCAAAGGAAAATCAATTAGTGTTAATAAAAAGCTGATAATATCTACTAACTATGCACCAACACTGCAAAGTGATGTGAGCTTTAAGTATCCAGCAGAGTGGTCTACATATAAAGAAGTTATCAACACAGCCCAAGTGGGAGGCTTGTATCTGTGTGTCTGTGATTTTTACCTTTTGCTTATTGATGGTGCTGAGGGAGAACATGGATGAGTCGCCGGTATCTGCGATGGAGACGCCGGGCAAGTCCATCTTCAGTTCCACCCTCTCCCTCTGCTTCCTGCGCTCCTTCAGCAGCTTCCTCTTCTTTCTGATGGAGGAGAACAGTCATACAAACTTTGTTTTTTGAAGGAATGTCAAAACGGCAATTTCATCTTTTTTTTTTACTAAAACCCCAACAAGCCACAAGTTTAGAGTTCAATCGAAAGGGTAAAGTGCTGCTATAACAATACTTCACAACCCCGTCTTTGGGGTCTGTTGCAACGTAGCACAGTCGATAAACTACAATGGACATTCAGGACAAAGTAGATAATCAATAGTAGAAAGAAATCTGTCGTACCGTTTGAGCTCAGCCACCTCCTCAGCTTTCAGTTCTGCGAGTTTCATCTCCATTTCGGCCTCCTCGTCCTCCTCTTCCTCCTGATCCTTTTTCTTCTTATCTGGTTCTTCATCTGAATTCCCCTGTTCTTCATCAGAACTTAACCTAAAAAGCAACGCAAACATTTTTTTTTTAAATCTCCAACGACACAATCGAAATAAGAATATTTCAGTTGCTTTTTGTAAAAGTAGTGTAAAGACTTTACTTGATCTCTGGGTCCGGCTGTTTGGCCTCCGTCTTCAGTTTTTTGGCCAGATATTTCCTCAGCTTGGACCTCCAGTTCAGCAGCAGGCTTTAGAGGTGAAGAAAGAACACACATGCATGCTTGAGTCACTAATACTGTATATTATCATTATTATGCATTATTTTTAGAAAGAAACTGTACCAGCAGGCACAGACCTCAGCCATGAAGCATGGAGAAGACTTACCGGAGCTCTTTGCGGCCCAAGACTTTGATGTCACGACAGCACTCCTTTATCTCATCACTGGTGGCCGGGTGAGACTCCAGCTCTTCGTTGTCGATGGAGATCTGAATGAAGAAGAGAGAGTGAGAATGGCAAAACAGGAAAGCTTATCCGTAGCTTGATATTTGCACATTGTACCGTGGACTGTAATGTCAAATAATAATCTTTAACTTTCCTCAACATCTCCTACAGCTGCAATGTATATTTCCAGCATCTGTATTTAACAAGTCAAATCTCACCTCGCTGGCTTTGCTCAGGAAGTCTATAGCGTTCTCAGCTCTCAGGAAGGCCGTTACGTTGAAACTGTGGTAGAGCGTCAGATCGCCGTCGGTGTATCCCTCCGCCTGAAACAGAGGAGCAGCTGCTTGGTCAGTGACGTGGCAATATCTGAAGTCAAATGTTTACTCCAAAGTAAACATTACGATATTTGTGAGAACTATCACAGCGTATCAACACCATAGCAATGCATGAGTAAACAGCTGTTCAAGTAATTAAAGGAAAGTTGAGTTTGGAGTTCTTATTGCGACTAAACATTATCATACATTATCTATTAAATTAGCTATCAAACACTGCTCACAGTCTTCTATCATACAGTGGTACATGCCTTTGGTTTCTTGACAGGAATCAGCTCCCTCACAGTTTTGGCTTGCACTTCCACCTCTTTGAACGCATACTTGGCGTCAAAGAATTTATTGTCGATTTTGTCTGGGGCAACAAAACCTGGTGAGGAAAACAAAAATTTTAAATTTGGTTCAGATGCAGAAAATATTTAAATTTAGAAATAAAATACTGCAATCCGTAGCTGTCACTGACTCTGACAGATGACAAAGATCTCTGCTGACTCATTCCTAGACGCCTGCGGCTTGGTGGCCTGCACCTTCTTGAAGAACTGCTGGAAGATCCAGAGCAGTGGCTGGTAGTCTTTGGAGCGGAAGACCTTGGTGACGAAGGTCCCCCCTTTAGTCAGAAACTCGCAGGCCAACTTCAGGGCCATGAGGGTCAAATGAGCTGTGGGTGAAGCGAGAAACAAAGTGAGACTTTGCAACATTAAATTAGTTTCAAATGTGATCCCTTATGACAGGTAGGTGTTTTAAATTTAATTCTAATGTCTTAAAACCTTTGCTTTAGTGGCGCCTACCTTGTGAGAAGGCGTCATACTGCCAGTTGGCTCCCACATTTGGGGCTCCGTCATTTAACACAACATCAACCTTCCAGGTCTGCAGTTCCTTTCGTAAAGCCTGCATATGAGACAAACAGTATGTCAATTAACAACCCTTTATTAAAAACTATCAGACAGTTTGTAATTTTAGAAAAATCTGATCCTTGATAAACAGTCCAGCTGTCTAATGCCACGACACTTAACTCTGCCGCAGTGGTCTCACCTGTCTGCATTTATCAGTGGTGATGTCTTCTTGCAGTGCCACCACGTTGGGGATGGGTCTGATGGGCACCAGGTCAACACCTGACAGGAGGAAAAACTTTTTAAAAACATTTTCTCACAGTATTTCAGTGATCGGAATCAGATTGCAATTGTAATTTTAAACCCAGACACAATAACGTATTATCAGATAATCATATTAATAATATTACTCACCAATAATCAGACTTGATACAGGCATAAACTTGGACGCCACCTGCAACCTGTAAACAGATTTTGAATCATGAGTGTATTCTTTGCTACTTCATTTGTCTCTCTCGGTCAGTGGTTCTCAATCTTTTTGATGTCAAGGAACCCAAATTTATACGCTTCAGGCTCAGGACCATTAACTGACTAAGATGTGGTCTCAGGGATTACTGTATATTAAGAATTTGTTATTCCTTAACTATTTCTATTGTAGATTAGGTCAATGAACTCAGGTTTTTATACCCATTATACAGCAGCAGCAATGTATCTATAAAGGTATTTTTGGGATCTGACAGATGTTGATAAGATGTTTGCAGCGCAAAATCAACATTTAAATCCAATATTTCAACAAACAAACTTTCAACATTCCAGCAAAGAATAAGATCGGAGGTGAAAATTTTGATTTTAAACTGGTTTTCCCCTAGACAATTCATCAATCATCAATCCTGTCAGATCACAAAAAGATTTACAGCTTTGTATGCAAGTTATATAACCAGATCATGGAGCACTGAGGTCACAAATGGTACAAATGAATACAAACTCCAGTCCTCACACAATAAAGGTTTAGATGAAGGTCCCATTTCGGCCTGTTATCAGTATTATATCAAAAACACATGTGTAAGCTTTAGTTACATTTGCAATTACATAATTAATAAGCTCCATTTATTACTGAAGGAAGGCTGAACAACCAAGTGTATATACAAGATATTCTCCATAATGTCCATCCACGCTTTATAAGATGATGTACAGAAATATACCATCGACCAGCGTCTCCAGATCAGATTTAACTTTAGTCCCTCTGTGGATTACAGTTTAGGAACCCCTGCTTTAAATGTGCTGTGTGTTGACAGGCAGCTCACCATCCACCAGGAGCAGCACACAGGTCGATCAGGGCTCTGGCTTTCTGTAGAAACTGAAATTTTCGGTTGAGCTGGATGAGTTTGAAGGAGGAACGAGAGCGATAACCTGGAAAAGAGACGAGACGTATTAGACAGCTGACACTTTAAAGTCCCCATCCAGCACGTTTCTGTGAGTTAGCACCCATGCTAATGCTACCAACTATCTGAGTGCTTGCGGTGTGAAAGCAGTGATCTCTCCCAGCACTTTACGTTACCTGTCTCTTTAGCCAGGTGGTAGAATTTATCTTTCCTGCTCTTTCCGACTTTGAGTTTCTTCCCCATGTTTGTCGGTGTGGTTTTCACTCTTCACTCTCAAACAGAAATCTCTCACTGTGTCCAGACGTCCATGAAAACAACACGTGTGGCTGCCGCACGTATTTCTTCTTCTGCTGGTTGGTTTCCGGTGTTCAGGGGACGTTGCCGCCACCTGCTGCCTGTACCACAGAACTGTGACACTGTTATTATTATTATTACTAAGATAAGATAAGATATACCTTTATTAATCCCCCGTAGGAGAAATTCAAATCAACACAGCAGCATTGGGGAATATAGTGCAATAAAAAGAGGACAGTGTGCATACAATCGTATAACAAATAAGGATATTACAAAATATAATAGAACATTTGAAAGTATAAATGAAAAATATATACACTGTATGCAATGTACAAGTACAATGGTGTGCAATAAAAATATATATGTGCAATTTAAGATAAATAATATAAGTTTGGTTGAATTAAACCTGTAGTAAATGACTGTAAGCAACACATTACTGCCTCACATTCAAACTTTATTATGTTGGAAGATAAATGACATCATAATATATAATATAAATGATAGAATATTCAGTATATATACAGTATTTTTAATGGGGTTAAAATAAATAAGCAGCTTTTACAAATATCTGAAAGTCAACTTTGGTAATAATACTTTCCATGTTAAAATATCAGATATGAAATATGGATACAGTTTACAGTTGGTTCTCAGCAGTTTTTAAACTACATAAACAAGTTACTTTATTAGATGAAGTAATTCCTTCAGTTATGTTAGACATGTTGTACAGGATAAGTATTCTGGCAGGTTTCTGCCTCATGGGTAAGTTTACATGTCTCAGTAAACCATGTGTATAAAGATATAAAGATCGGAGGTTACAGAAAATCATCATACTATTACTCGATTCTTTGGTACACTTACTGGCTGTTTCTTCACTAGAAACAATTGCTTGACTAATGTTGTTAATAATATGTAATATATAATATATTTGAAACCAATCTTAGTCAGTGGGGGTGGGAGGTACTGAGTGATAATAATAATAATATAATATACTTATTAATATAATAAGAGTAATAATATATAATTAATAATTATAATTACGGTAAGTGTTGTTAGTAAGGTTCTTCATTTTGAGATAGTTTTCCGTAATGTACCTACATTTTATTAAATGCTACTTTTCAAGCTAATATGATTCACTGCTGTAGTTTAAACCACCCAACAGTAAATAAAGTTAGCACTATCCATGCTAAATGATGCAGCATGATGCAGTAAAGGGCTGGTTCATCTAAATCACAAAAAAAAGCCCTACTTTCTCTTAGCCAGTAGTATGTAGCCATGCAGATGTTTTCTGTATTATGTGAGCTCACTGTATCATGAGGTTCCCTTAAATCTAACCAACAAACACACTTGAAACAATATGATGCAAACTATAAGAGGTTAGTTACTGAACACGTACCACAGTCATTTGCATTTTCATTTATTTATTTATTTTTGAAATCACAGCCGCATGAATGTTGGGAGATAACACCCTTCAGTGAAGAACACAGCTGTCAGAAAGGCCTGTTTCTGGATCGCGTGTTGATCAGTCCCAGGACAGAAAAGGCACTAGCTGCTGCCGTCACCAAACTGATGGCCCCAATGGCCCGTGTTGCCTGTGGAGACAAGGAGGAAGAAGAGGAGGTTGACTGAGGATTACTGTGAAGGAATGGGAGTGATCAGAACAAAGAGCAGATGAGCTTTTTGGCTAAACAGCAAAGAGAAACTACAAAATTAAATAGTTGTACTGCCATAAATATAAAAAAAGTCTGCTGCTTATGAGAGGAGTTGCAAACCAACACATGCATCTATTAAAGCATAAGAATAACAAAGTAATGGATTAAAAAGATTTTGAGGTTTATATGGATGTTTTGATCTCTAAACCATTGTAAGCTTAATTATTTGAGCATTCCCACAGCTGTTGTTCTCTGTGAAGATAGAAAGTACAACATTAGTCACTTTTCAAGGCTATGACAGTGAGTGTTTGACATTCAGAACATAGATTTTGTGTTGAGAATCCCTTCAAACAGTAGCTATAACCTCAACAACTGCAACTCCAACCAGCCAGGACAGGCACGTTGACTAATGTCTAATTTTGCCAAACCTATACGTAGAACTAAAATGGATAGAACCTGCTTCAGGTAAAAGAAAAAATGAGATTTTCACGCTTTATATTACAAAAAGGACAATGTCCGTGTTTCAGTTCAGGGCTTAGTAAACTATTAGTACATTAAACCAGTGACTGGTGTGCAGACGAACTGAGGTCAGCCATGTTAAACTGGCAGCTACTCAATGACAGAGCTAAAATGTACACATAGAAAGAGTAGAGAAAGTAACACAGGCCAATATAAAGTAAATGTTAGATTTATTTTATATTAAGGTTTACTTTAATCTGCCACTGTGGTAAATAAATTCTCTTGTCCTGTTCTGGCCTAAAAAATGTGACATTTGGGATTCATCATTGGTAAGTTGAGTGAAAGGTTAGTATTTTGCCCTGATGACACATGAGATGGAAACAAAATAAACAGTGAGAGACCTGCTCGGACACCCCCTCCCCGTAGCGCAGAAGGGTAACAAAGTGCTCGCAGTTGCTCCCCAGCAGGTCGTAAGACACCTCCTGGCCAATGAGGACTTGCGCTCGCTGGATGATTTCACAGATGGGCAGGGGTGTGTGGTTATGGTCGTACTTGTTGTTGACACGGTACGAGTCGCTTCCCACCACTTCTTTCAGCAGCTGCATGCGCACCACGGCCTTCCGGCTGAAGACGGACTTCACACTGGACATGGCAGCTGCAGGGCCCTCATCTGCAGAGAAAGAGGAGAGGCTCATGAGATCTTGGACCTGGAATCTTGCAGATTTAGGGAAAACAGTTGATGTGTTTGATGCAACAACAAACCAATTACTGAAGTGAAAAGAGTACATTTATCATCCTCTGTGATTAATGCAGATAGACTTTTAGCCAATAAGAAACAAAATTTGTCATCATCATGTATCATTTCACCAAAGTCTGACAGACATTGAGGACTAATAAAACAACAAACCAGTCAATTCTTACGATCATAATATATCCTACCTCCTATGTCCTACACAAAGCGAAAGTTTGCAATGTAACAATGAGAATTCATTAAATATGAAGACAGTTATTGGGCTGATGTTGAGTTTCTTAGTGTTAAACTCTCTAAATAATAACTGATTCTTTTAAACTTCAACTTGAATTGTTTCTTATTTAGTCACAAATTCTTCACATTATAGAATAATATCCATGTTTAAAACGGCTTTAAATGAAACCACAGTGGTGGCAGATTTAGATCATTTGTATTAGTAAAAACACCAATACAACAATATAAAAAATACTTCCTTACAAGTATAAGTCCCTCATTTAAAACAATACCTTTGTTTTCTAAATATATATTAAAATATTCTAAAGTGAGTTGTTTTTCTTCGATAGAGATACGGACAGGAAACATTGGGAGAGAGGTCGGTGACAATAAAGGAGTAATGGCACTTTTAACCAAACCACAGTGGTGTTTAAAGGGGTGTCCGCCTGATGTCTGTGCTCAAAAGGCCAATAAACCACAACAAATGCCTGCAGACACAACTGCAGGCAGCTTTTAGTTAGTGCATAGTGTAAACATATGCCTGAATGTCCTCTAACATATAATTTGATTGAATTATACACAACTCTTTGTTTTGTTATCGGCATTATACATGAGCCCCCCACAGCCCAGCTTTCTAAATATCAGGATCAACCATTGAAAAACCCATACCACTACTTGAAACCCTTCTTCAAATTCATCTACATCTGACCTCTGGTGTCTAAATGATCATACGTGAGGTAAAATGTGACCTTTAGTATCTCCATAGGGCAGTCAGATTTAACAGCTGGATGAGAGCGGCAAGTCTCATGTTTAATTAGTCGGTGTATGTTAATGTTCAAAATCAACCTATGTTGTCTGTAACACCACTTTTGTTGTTAAGGTCAGCTCAGGCTGTTACACTCGTCTGTTGGAGGTTCCTACTGACCAACGGGAGTTAAATTGATGATGTAACCGTCTCCCAGGTAGAGAGCCCAGTGCTGATAGGCCGGTCTGAAGATCTCAATGAGGTCACCAGGCTGGGGGTCAGCACAGGGGTCAGGAAGGTCAGGGTCATTAGAGGCCATCTGCAGACACAGAGAGACAGATACAGGTACAATATTTAACTATTTTGTTTGCTTTCATTAAAAAAAAAAAAAAAAGACATTAATAGTTACACTTTTTAAAAGTTTAAATAATTGAATATAGTCAAGAAACTTCTGGTGCAGTATAACAGGCCAGGAAAACCTACAAAAATTCCTTATGAATGCCAGAGTTGCTGAATTACTTACTACTACAATTTAGGGAAACTATAGATGTAAAATGACCAGTGATTTCCCTTTTTGGAGGTCAACAGGGTCACTCATACTACAATATCCACTTTCACTCATCATAAAAGAATGCACTGTTAATTTTCAGGTCATACCAACAGCCTTTCAGTCAACTTACAGTAGAGTTTTGTTGTTGTTTATCCATCCCACATCATGCTTCCACAAATTCTAAAAAGAAAAGAAAACACAGATGGGAAAAACAAACAACAAAACTACCTTTAAGCCACTGAATGTGAATCTAAAAACTGAGAAATGATATGTATGTTTGGGATTTTTCTGACTTACTTTGTGGTTAAGACAAGTCAAGTCAAAACTAAATTCCCAGAGAAAGAGAATGCTAGATAGGATGGTACAATGTAAGGGCACCCATACATACACACACAAACAATACACACCAGCTCGCACGCAGACAATATACACACAAGCTCTTGTGTCACCTGTGTTGCCACAATAGCACCAACACAATGGGGAAGCTGACAGAAAAATACTTGGAGCCCAGGTTAGTTCACATAAAAATAATCACCCATAAAAGTGTGAGTTTCTATCACTTTTATACAACCTCTAATAGTGACTTTTTTCCTTAATTAATTAAGTAATTTCCTTGTATCACCTGAGATAATATAAAAATGATTAAAATTAAGAATTTCTGTTAATTCCACAGAGATGGATGGGATGAAATATATAGCTGCCCAGGAGAGCAATGAGTATATCCATCTCATCATTAATGTATGAAGCTGAAGCCGAACTGAAAAAAGAAAGCCACATATTATTTTACCAAACCAAAACTCCATCAGCATCGGTGGGCTGCCACTAATATGAAAACATATTCTACAAACACAAAACATTCTGTGGAAATATGATATAGAATATAAAAATGAAGTGCCGTAGACACCTTTAAAGCCTGTTTTTTGTAATGTTACAGCATTATTCTAGTGATTGTATTGAGTCTATAAGAAGAATTAATGTCAGAGGCTCAAACAGTCAACACAGAGCAAATGAATACATGTGTAATACTTACTCAAACACCAGCAGCTTTTTCTTCCTCACCATTTTAATTCTCCATCATAAATCCGCACATAACCATAAAAAATCCAGCAAGAAAAGAGACGCAGAAAGAGATCAGTTCCAAGTTTCTGAGATGTCAAAAGGCCGTCAAATATCCCAAAGCCAAACCAGACGTTGGAGGTCCTGGTGGAGGTATTTCAGTGTCCGCTGCTCTGACTGATGACAGTTTGCCACAGTTGCTAAGGTCACACATGCTCATAGACGCAGAGAGGCGTTTCCTCTCTGGCATTGTCTCATTCACAGGCTGCTGTTCTGAACAGGAGTTATTGTGGGCTTGCAAAGGCAACACATACATGACTGAATTCATTTCTCTGTGCTCAGAGAGGTGATGTTAGTGTAGCAACCCATGTGCATGTTCATACAGCCACAACTCATAATGTGTCTGTCGGTTCTTCAAAATTTTACACATTAAAGTAATTGCTTTTAATTAAGTTTGCACAGCTTTAAAGAGATAAAGCAAATAAATCTCTCTAACTTGATGAAAGATGACTTCCATAATACAGACTGTCCAGGTGATAGACCAGTCCCCCGCAACTATGTAACCTATAAACAGGTGTAAATAATGGACGGATAAGAGACCAGTTTGGTAATATTATGTTGAGACTAGTCTCAAAAATAAGATACAAAGCTTAAGGAACTGTTCATCCTAATAAAATTGTCTTGGAGAGTTCCTAAACTTTTCCAAATAAAAAATAATAATTTGTAAACACATAGGGCATATTTCATTTACTATAATTTCTGACAGTAAATAGTTCTTATCTATGTATAATAAAATATACCCTTGGTGGACCTGAGTGTCAGCTACAATAAAGGAGATGTCAGGGGTTGGATACATTTCCTGCTCGTTGATTGGCTGCTGACGGCCAACACTATTCGTCACTTGTCTCCGCCCCCCTGTCGTAAACTGCAGCTCTCAGCTGCGTCAAGCTGATGACAGTAAATGTAAACAGAACAGGAAGTTAAATCAAAACGAAATGGAGAGGTCAGGACAATGTATAAAACCACAGTATGTCCTGTAGAGGGACATGCGTGGAACACGTGTAGCACACTTTGTAAATTTAAGAAACAAGGTTTAAAAATAATTTAATGAACAACTATATAAAAATAGAAGAATCGTCTCATGTTACTATTGATATCCAATAAATTGTGTATTTTAAAAAGATGCAATAACTTGTAGCTTCAGGCAACACCTTTTTGGTCAGCAGCTCAAGTCAATTGTGCTTTTATTTTGAAATGTGTTCCAGGAAGTGGTCCTGTTCGTCGCAGCTAGCTCGACGCTGGAGCCATTACAGGATACAAACAGAAGGTTAGCCAGGCTGACAGCAGCTCGTCTTTCAGCGAGGGAAGGGGTTGTCTACACTGTCGCCGCGGATCAATACTGGTTGTGTTATGAGAAGAGGACACCGGCTGTTTAAGGACTTCGGTAATGAATACAGCGCCGCTAACTAGCCATGCTAATGCTAGTTTACTACCGCGTTGCCGCTTTAAAGTCAGCTAGCTTCATCTGTTAGCTCGTTTGGCAGCCGCATGCTTACGGATAGATGTTCACTTATTAATACCTAACTGAGAGCAGACACATATACGTATCTATCGTCATACATATACACATTATTACTCTCGTGTGTCGAAGTTGAACGACGTCCCTGCTAACTTGTATGTCTTCAGTATCCCCTCCGTAGTTAATAGTTAACTCAGCTAACATGTCCCCGATGCTCTCCTGCGGCGTTTTACTTCATCCAACCCTCCAAAGTTGTACAATTTGTGACTGACTAAACAGTATGTTACGTTATAGTCATCGTGTATGTCATCTCCACTGCTGTAGTTAACAGTGTTTGCCCTCTTTGACCGCTCCTCTCCGGGTTCAGATTGAGCACCATGGCTGCAGCCCCTCCACTCAGACGGACGGACTCAGCTCGGGGGGAGTTCTCCCCTCTGAAGCACTTTGTTGTGGCCAAGAAGAAGATCAGTGATGTGTTTGAACAACTACTCAACTACGTGAAAGAGACTTCAGAGTTTGTCGAAGGTCAGCTGTTTTGATGGGAGGTCACATTTTATTTTTACTGGAAAGGAATCATGTTTCATTCATGAGGAGTTATTGTGTTAACATTATGTTTATCGTCTGTCAGTGAGCTCTCTCAGTTCAGTGGCTCATGTAAGTTGTTGTTGTTGTTGTGTTTGTTGTGTGTTGGACTTTAGAAACCTGTGGGAACAAAGCTTTGGAGAACATTGCGAGTCAGGATCAAAAGTTGGAGATTCAGGCGTACGCTGACAAGCTTGCTGTCATTAAGGAGGTGCTGGCCCGCAGACACATGAAAGTGGCCTTCTTTGGCAGGTAAAAACATCCACACACACCTGAATTTTACATTAGTGACGTAACTGTTGAGTTGTGTAAGGTAAACTCGTCCCTCCCCAAATGAGTCAGTTGGCACTTTTTCTTTCGCTTTCATTTTCTTTTAACTGGACCACTGTCATAGAAGAGACGTTGTTCAGTCACCTCATCACGTCATTCTGCATAATTGAGTTTAAATTGATGGTAATTGAAGCATGATGTGCTCTGAACTTGCGCAAAACACAACAGGAGGGTGTGTGAGAGGAAAAACTTTTTTTTTTAAATTTCTTATGCTTGATTCAACACTGAGCAAACCTCTGTACATTTAAAACATCTCCTGTTGCAGGTGTAACGCAGTCCGACCCGTGAGAGGCCACATATTTCTGTTGCATTAACAGTTAAAGTAAATAAAGATGTGACCTCCTTGTGGCTTTACAGTTGTCCATTTTGACAGTTTTTTGCCATATAAGCAAATTATTTGTGGCTCCACATTATTATTTTCAGAACGAGTAACGGTAAAAGTACCGTGGTGAACGCCATGCTGAGGGACCGCGTGCTGCCCAGCGGGATTGGCCACACCACTAACTGCTTCCTGAGTGTGGAGGGCACTGATGAGGACAAGGCCTACCTCAAGACAGAGGGCTCTGATGAGGAGAAGAGCATCAAAGTAAATATTTTTATTTTAATACCCATTTTGCAAGGAAGGTTTGATTAGTGCTAGTTGTCTCATTATGATTAGCCTCCTATTAATAGATTTTCAACATTTTTATACGTCAGCTATGTAGAACTACTTTGTACCTTAACTAGAGTAATTGGGGACAAGATTTTACACAAACACACACACCAGAATCTGGCCTTGGTCAGTCATCAGACCATCTGTTGCCTTTAATCGGTTGTCACTGACATATTTGGAAATCTGAGTGGTGATGTGAGTGAATCCTCTGTCGGGTGACTGGTTTTAGTGCAGCAAGAATGGCAGGAATATTGCTGAGGAGATTTTCTTTTTGTTGTTGTGGATGTTTTGCTGTACTCAGATGGGTCACACGGTTGAGGATGCAAGCTGATAAGGTTTATTCCTCACCCTGATAACAAAGCTAAGCTCATATCTTTGTACTGATTCTTCCACAGGGAGCATGACATAGTTTTCTAAGCAGTAGTTTGTTTTTCTAAACCAAATGTATTCATAAACTGCCTATTCAAGTTTGCAATACAGTTATGTAGAGGGTAACGGAAAAGTTATAAACGGTAATTAAAAAAATAAAGGGATAAAAACGATAATAGATAAGATATGTGTGCTTTCATAACAGTTAAAATTTGCACATCAACTTGTCTTGTTTGGCTTCTGTCTTGTGTTAATGAACACTGGTAATATTTACTTTATTGGAAGTTCTTAATGTTAACACTTATAACTGCAAAATGCTTTTACATTAAAGAGAATTTGCTACATTACACATAACTTCTGTTTACGTCTCTTCTGCAGACTGTAAACCAGCTGGCTCACGCACTCCACATGGATGAGAGTCTGGACGCCGGCTGTCTCGTCCGTGTGTTTTGGCCAAAGACCAAGTGTGCTCTACTTCGAGACGACCTGGTGCTTGTAGACAGGTAACAGCATCTGGAAATCCTGTACAAGTTTGTAAATATCAATTTGACAGTGTCTAGGACATTGAAACGTGTGATTCACACAGTTAAGGCCAATAATGTGCAGGGAAAAGAAATCAAGCTAAAATGGACATATTACATCACATGTTTTGTAGATGTCATATATTTGACCTCTCGACCTCTCTTCCACTCCCTAGTCCAGGGACAGACGTCACATCCCAACTGGACAGCTGGATTGACAAGTTTTGCCTGGATGCTGATGTGTTTGTGCTGGTGGCTAACTCTGAATCCACACTTATGAACACGGTACGTCTCTAACATAAGTGTAGGAATAGTTCGGACATGCATAGTTAATCTCATGAGTAGATATTCCAATTTCTGTTCCCATGGCTCATTATCACTGAATAGTCCTTTTAAGGTCTTTTAGTGTCCACCCAAGGTGATGACAGTACTGTAATTTAACAATATTGATCCACAATAACACACCATAATAGATAGCAAAGTAAGTTTTAAGATATGTCAGTCCCTTCTGTGTACTAAAAAGGCCAGCGTGGATGTTTTCTATGCTGAGCTGATTACAGTGGAGAGCAGAATGTGGCTGCCTGTGTTTGTATCCAGCCACAGAGGCCCCACTCTTGTTTCTCTCGGCTCAGGCATTCATGCAATGTGAAGCTGGACGCAGTCAATCACAGAGCTCCTTAACCCAGCAGCAACTCTTAAAGGGAAAGGCAAACACACATTACCCTCTGGGCTATTCAATGGAAATGAACCCAGCCATTATGTAAATAATGCAAGATAGTCACGTAGCAAATCTGCAATGTGGGTACTGCATTTGAATCAAGTCTTTTCATTTTTATTGTGTCAAAACTATCTACGATTGTGCTTTATTGGCAAAAAAATAGAAAAGGAACGTTTTACATGTCATTTTTTTTTTCACTTTAACATCACTCGTACTGATCTCTCTTCCCCTTTCCACCACCTAGGAAAAGCACTTTTTCCACAAAGTGAACGAACGTCTGTCGAAGCCAAACATCTTCATCCTCAACAACCGCTGGGACGCCTCAGCAAACGAACCAGAATACATGGAGGATGTGAGTCAATCATCCGTTGAACCAGAAACATTTAATTCTCATTGTTGCTGATTTTTGTAAAGATTTTTTTGAAACCACAAATCAGCAAAACTATCTGCGCGGCTAAATATCACAAGGGACAATTATTTTGTTCATTTGTTTTAAATGAGTATGT